GAGGAATTGCAGATGGAGTTTGCGGCGTAATGGAGTTCCCGGCATAATCATGAAGGGTGAAAACTCCTCCCAACTTTCAAACTTTACGAAGAAAAGTTTCATGAGTGCATCCATATAATTATCTATTCTCTCCCTGTCCAACTTGCTTGTTTTACTTTACTCATTTATGGTTATAAAAAAATTTCACTTAATCTTACTCGTAGTTAAATTAAAAAAAATCAAATGGCATTGTTATATCAGCCTAAATAAAACTAAAATTGAAATATTAATAGTTAATATTTGAAGAAAACCTGTAGAATAATTGATTAAATTATTGATATACAAATATTTCTTTATTTGTATAATCAAAGTTAATTTGAATTTTTATTCTCTCTTTTTATCTTTTTTTTTATAAGTATTTTTTTTTATTTTGGTTGCATAATATGAGTTAATTATCTATTATCTTTTATTTCACCTCACTCGCATATCTTGCAATTTGAATTTAAAATCTCTTACTTCCAGTAAAAGGATGATTATTGAGTTAGTTAGGCTATTGACTTTTTTAATAGTATTTTAATTAATTGATTTGTCTCATAAAAAATTAATATTTTTTTTTAAAAAGAGATAATAAATTATAACCACCTCTATTTAATAGTGAGACAAGTAAATTAAAACAAATAGAGTAGTTTTATAAAAAAAAAAATAGAGTAGTTTTGAAAGGGTTCTGTCAACCCAACTTAGTTCGCAACCTGAACAAATTAATTACGAACTTCCTAACTCTAGAACAACAATCCTCCTGCTTTTCAACCTTAGCATATCAATCAAACTCGTGTCATGTGATCTATGTATGTTCATTCACGTGGTCCCATAATTTATTCGGTGCAGGGGCAGCAGCCAACTAGGGGTCATTCGAAAGCTCTGTATCACATATATATATATATATATAATATAAAGCTTCATCACAGTCGTTTCTGTGGCTCCAAAAATCACTGAAGAAACAAGAAGAAGGAAATGGGTCGGAGTCCTCCCAGCTCTCAGGATGGACTGACTAAGGGTGCATGGACGGCTATTGAGGATAAGATCCTTAGGGATTACATCAAGGTTCATGGTGAAGGAAAGTGGAGTAATGTTGCTAAAAAAACAGGTTCTCCAACAACCTTTCTCTTCTAAGTTTTCAAGTTAATTATGATGTTTTTTTGTAATCTTTTGCTTTGAGATTATAGTACTTATTGATTAGCTAATATAATATCAGGACGATGCTTGTTTTATTCGTCAAGAAGATAGGGTCTAAAATTAACTTGTAACCTTTCAAAACCTCATCCTGATCCATCCTTGTATATGTATATATGGTTGAAGAATATCATGTTGAGATTTCGAAAAGTTACTGGACCAATGTCTCAGTGAAAACATACGTACGGATGCAATTTTTAACTTCTGGTACTCGCATGAATCTTGAAAATTTTCACAGGTCTTAAGAGGTGTGGAAAGAGCTGTAGGCTTCGGTGGATGAACTACCTGAGACCTGATATAAAGAGGGGCAACATTTCCCATGACGAAGAAGAATTAATCATTAGATTACACAAGCTCTTAGGCAACAGGTACGCACATAATTTACACTTCTATAGTAATTTATTCTCCCTGGTCGTTCAGATAAAAGACACTAAGCTACATAAATTCTTATGAAATTAATAATGGCTATATATACATAAGGTAACTTTCTCTTTTGTTCTGTTAGCCAATTATGTTTGTTCATATATCATGAAAGCGGCAGAGATAATATAAAACCCCACAAAT